GTGCAGCATTGTGGGTCATAATAACTTGAAAGTGATGTTTTATTCTCTCATGACGCGTCTGTTCGCTCCAGGATGGACACAGTGCGGAGCCCCAGCTGCCAACACACCCCGGGGTTCAGTGGTCTCCTCCCGGCCCTGGTGACAGGGAAGGGTGGCCTGACAGGGCCGCAGCAAGGCATTCTGGGTCCTCATTTAAAGGAGTGGCGGTGTGTGTGTGTGTGTGTGTGTGTGTGTGTGTGTGTGTGTGTGTGTGTGTGTGTGTACACTTTTAATCTGAAACCATCTCCACCATAATCAATCTGTTGGATGTGGTGATGAGGATGTAAAAACTCTGCATCATCTATTCTCTCATCATATTCACAGTATTTTTCCGTCTTGAGGAGTGGTGGAGAACACTTATCTAAATTTATTACATACACGTACGTTCAGTTTATAAAACTACAGTTTTACTTCTCTTTATAGCAGAGTTTCTCTTGTCCCACATGATTGGATAGAGTCGGTCCAGAGAGCCTAAAGGGCTGTGCAAATAGAGCAAAACTAAAGAAGTTGCACTTGTGTTTTATACTAACAAATTTTTATTTTAATTTTGAAGGTTCCCAGTTTGAGTCTTGGTTTAGTTCTACGGCACAAACACGGTTTGCAGTATTGATACACTGATCAACATTAAGCCTTTTGTTTGGTAACAACCGGAGCTGCACAACTTACAGAAAACTACAGAGAGAATATTTGGAGCCCATGAGCTAAATGTCACTGATGAGATGACTTGTCTGGTTAAATTAGCCCTACATTTGTTTTTTGGTTTAAAAGTAAATGTTGAGAAGTGGTCTTGTCATTGATAGATAAATATGAGATGCTTTAAGGTTCAAAGGTTTGCAGTGATTTTAAAATCTAAAAAAATAAGATTAAAGGTGGGGTTTGTAATCCTGGAGAATCCTGGCGATGCGGTGGTTAGCCTCACGCCTCACAACAAAAAGGTTTGGGGTTTGAACTTGATGACTGGCCAGGGCCTTTCTGTTTGGAGTTCTACTGTGTCCGTCTGGGGTTTTGTCTGAGTCATCAGCTTCCTCCCAAAGTCCAAAGAGATCCATCTTAGGTTATTTCGAGACTCTTATTTGCCATGCACGTGTGAATGGTTAGTTGTCTCTCTATGTTAACCCTGTGATATGCTGTTGAAGGAGGACTGAACAGACGTACAAAGTTTAGACTGAATCAAATGTACCAAACAGTTAAATGTGGCCTAAACGACAGCGGTGATGGAGCAGTTAAAGCCAATAAACATCCATGGACCATGGGGGCTAGTTTCCTTTGAGTAAAGTGACATGTAAAAGGAGGGGTATTACAGAAAACAGGATTTGTCTTGTCTTGGGGGGGATTTTGCTGTCAAAGATGTTACTTAAGTGAAAGCTTGGGCTCGTCCCTGTTTCATGTGATGAAATAGCTCCATTCCAACAAGCCAACTGCCCATTAGAGTGATGTCACACTGGGTAAGAGGAAAAAGAGTAACACAATAACCCCTTTAACTGCTGTTTCATATGTCACAACAAACAAACCGAAAACCATTTTCTATCATCACTGCCTAACACGGCTTTCAGTGGTGTAGATTACTGCTTTAAAGGGCATTAATTATTTCAAAGTGAGCGTCTGATGGAGAATTCTTACCGATTATCCTCCCTGGGTCAGTTTTAAGTCTGCTTAAATTTTTAATACATTCCACTCTCAAGCTATGTGACCATCACACAAATTCATCACTCCCACCCTTTTCCCTGCAGGAGTCTGAGAAATAAAAGTGTGCTGTGCTCGGATTAACAATTTACTTTTAAGGGCCAAATACAAAACTGACATATAATTTGAAACGATTGCCGACATCTGAAGAGTGACAGAGACATTTATGGATTTGAGGTTGTCAAACAAGATACAGTAGATTGATTCAAAGGAAAACACTGAAGCTGTTAATGCAAAATTGTTCTTTATTATTTTTCAGATATGAGAATGTGACATCTGAGGAGGCTTCCTGAAAACTGTCAGCTGACCTCAGCTTACACTGTGTGCACACTACTCCAGTATGAAACTTTGACCTCAGTGCAATGCGTGACCTTTGGGTTCTATCTGTAGCTCATGTTGCCGTCTGTGTGTTTCCACTTCAAGCTAAGCCGTGTGCACCGCAGAGTCGGAGGCACCGGAGGCTCTGATGTTATTTTAGTTGTGTGTCAGTCTCTCCAAAATGTTTTTCTCATGACTGTGCACGAAACTTCGCACATTTGCAGAATGGATGAAAAGAAAAATCAACCAAGACACACAGTGGCACAGGATATAAGAAAATGTTTAATGGCAACACACTGCAAAATCTTTCATCACTCCAAACGTGTCATTCAGTGCTTCGGTCTGGCTGTGAGGTTGTCAAAGTTTAATGCGATAAAATTTTACGCTATGCTACATCAATAAGTGTTTAACAGGAAAATACACAACAGTGGAATAGTTCTCTAATGTTGAATGATTAATATCATGTTTACATTTCACACTGGATTAAGTTTTCCACTTGTTTTGTCCCTCGAGATGCATCATTTCAATCTGATGTTTGCTAAAAGACATCAGGCCTTTTTTTTTTTCAGCATTAAGGCAAAAATACTACTGGTTTTACTTGTGCATATCTATGGTAATGTGCTTTTTAGACATAACAATTCATGTAATTCACAACCTTAGCTGCACACTGACAACAACACTCAAAAAAACCCAACAACAAGTGCATTTCAGAACTGACATAATCAGAATACAACACCACATACACACATGACACAACACTTAAAAAAAACATCTGTGATGATATATTGTTATTTGGCATTAGAGTGATAACAATGATATTGAAAAACTATTCTATTAACACTGCACGAAAATATCTTTGTAACTTTCTCCATGATATGCAAATACTCACGAGTTGTACCCTACATGTTTTCTTTCATCAAAAGAAAGCCCTCTATGTCTTTCTTTTGATGAAAATGCATATTAATCTAAGAACTCACACAGCGGTACACAACTTCAACATTGGTTTAACTCGATTACTTCTTTTGGAATCATGAAAAGGCACTTCACTAGCAAACAGATCAGAGTGAACTCTTGTGGCGTGATCACAAACGGTGCAAGACCAGAAGAAGTCCGATGAAGAAGAGCGCGCTGGGCTCCTGCATCACTATCGAGAGGGAGACGATTCCGCTCAGAAAGACGATGGATGGCATCAGATTCCTGTTTACGGCCGACAGGGGCTCAGACGCCTCTGACAACGTCTTTGATAGATTCTCTACTGATGTGTCAGGCGAAATCTGGGGAGCATCCTCTTTCTCTTTGCAGACCGAGGCAGGTGGAGGAGCTGGGTTTTCGTTCGCCTCAGTTACAACTGTGCTCACGGGGGCGTTCGCTGTGAGTTCAGGTGATGGTGGAGCTTCACCTTCTGCTCTCAGAGCTGCCTGACTCTCTGCCACGGGGTACGTGAACGCCGGCGTACCATCTTCACAATGTGCTACAGACGTGGTGGAACTTTCTGTTAATCCTGCAGCGAGTTCACTCAATCCCTGTGCAACCTCGCGCTCAAAGCCCCGAGCCGCACTGGGAGCAGAGACACGTGCAGCAGCCAGTTCGAGAAGAGGACGACTAGCTGTGCTTTCGGTCGATCTGTCCTCTCCTGTTGGCAACAGATCCGTCTCTGTGGTGGGAAGTTGCATGCTTGAGGCCTCTGGAGGAAGGATTTCCTCTCCATCAGCCTGGGAACTGTCTGATCTCGGCCTTGACTCTTGCTGCAGGGAAGGCAGCAGTGGAGAGGGACTTTTGTCTACGGGCTGTGCTGACGTTTGGTCGACTAATTCACAGTGGAGTCTGGGTAAAGGCTGGGACTTATTTGGCTGGGCTGATTCACTGGCACAGAGTACAAAGGATGAATTAGTTTGTAGTGTGGTTTCGGAAGACGTACAAGGGAAGCGTTCACCTGGGGATTCAGTGTGAGCGGACAGTGTGCCGGCAACAGATGGAAGCTCGTGGTTGGGAGGGACAGAGGGACCTGATGGGTTAACTGCAATCTGTGGAAGTAAAACAGTGAGACAGCAGTGACAGCTAAGAGAAGGAAGCAAAGGGGAAAGATTTGTATTCGACGTTAATGTTTCAAACAGAGACGAAAAGCATTTTACCACATACTGATGCTTTTCTGTGAAATGGATCCCATGCTGACATTGTAATTGTGAGGAAAATGCAGACAGACCAGGAGCGTTATGATGGGACTGACAAACATGAATTCGCCTTTACTTCCCCTGTCATGGGGACAAAACTCTTTCCCACTGGAGTCCAAACAGCACAAGGGCATCAAAATATTAAATCAATACAAATGTATAATTATTTTATCCTCAAAATTACTCTTTGTACATATTTTCACATAAGTGCAGGAGCAAATGTCCCCCCCTTCTGATTTTCTTTTGGAATAAAAAAAGAGCTTTATTGAAAAGAGCTTTGAGGCTGCTGTGACAAACACCGAAGATAAAATCAAGATAAAATCACAACAATAGAAATCATATATCAATTGAAAACACCAAGAACATCCAGAGGAACAAGTGCAAGAGCAAAACACAGATAGAGCACTGAAGTGTTAATGTAGAAGATGTGAATATATTAAGACAAAAGCATCATTTTCTGTATTAATTTCATGTCCTGCTGAGACATTTCTGAGGGCAAGATGTTGTTAAGTTAAAAATGTGTATTTCTTTTAACTGGAATAATCACACATTTACACTAAATGCTTTCCAATAATTCTATTTTCATTTTGACTAAATCGAGCACTTTCTGTCGGTCTGTAAAGAAGCGACATGAAAGCACCACAGAATGAGTAAAAGAGCTAAACCAATCTTCAGCACAATGGAACACTCAGAAAGTGAACCACGCTCGCAATCACACTGACGAACTTTACCTCGAAAATGATGACACAAACGTGGAGAAATAATTTGTCAGTAATGATGATGTTTGAATGAAAAGCACTGAATTAGATCCTAAATGTACATTGAATTAAGAGAAGAGAATAGTTTCACTGACTGGTTCACCTTTAGTTGTAATGCTCTGCCAAAGGAAAACACAGCATGCATGTGACCACTGATATAAAATACACATACAGATGAGCTGGATGAGTACATGCCTAACACATAGTATCAGTGAGACACTGGTACCAGATCACATCATGTTAGGAGGTGGACGTCCTCATTCATTTAGTGTTCGACATACTCTGGGCTGTTTCCTCATTATTATGCAACAGTAACTCCGTCCTGCTTCTGAAATGCGTTTCCTTCACTCTGATGTGTTTTTTGTGTGGAATTGTTCCAAAATCAACTTTTGATCACCAAAGGTTGCTGCTGCAGGCTCCCTGGACATCCTCTTTGGAAGCAGCTCAACATTTCTGTCATCCAAAAATGTTTTGTTTAAAAAAAGAAAGAATAGTAATAATTCTTTAACTGTATTTAGCATTGCTGTGTAAATATGTATTTTTTCCCATCTGCATCTCTGCAACAAGGCCATTTCCATAAATGTTGAATTGTTCCTTTAATGTTGCAGCAGAGTGACAGTAGTTAACATTCTCTTCAAAGATCGTCCACTGTGATCTCAATACTGAATGTGATCTAAAATGAGTTTCAGTAACATTTTAATATTAACAATCTACATTGACAACAGCACAGTGACGGAACAGTAATCACAAATAATGTAAACATACAGGAAACTATGGCTTCACATGGTGTGAATGAATATTAGTGTTCACGATCACTTGCGACTGAAAAAGACACTGATACAGATTTCAAGAGGACAATTTAAAAAGCAAAGACACGGAGAGCATGCACTGTGATGCCGATAGGATAAGACGCCGACGAGGAGGATGACATACAGTTCTCGTGCTACAGCGGTGAGGAAAGCGAGACGTTACCTAAGTTGTTGCTGAAGCTTCAATGAGCTGTGAACAATATAAACAATCAAGCCAATGGTGGTGAGCTTTAAAAGTTGAACTGAAATGTTTATTGGACACATGAGAAGCATAAGAGGGATACAGCACTTCTCCTGCTTACCTGTTAAATAGGAATGTGTCAACAACTGCATGCAAATCGAGATCATTTGAACATAATCCAACTAGTCATTTTCTAAATGTTGGCAAGAAAGTAAGCGATCAGCAGCAGCACATTCCAGTTATATTGACCTGTTTTAACTTCTGCAGGTCAAAGAAAGTTCACAGAGAACAGGAACCACAATGAACCCTCCAGTTATTTAATCATTTATTTCATTAAATCTCTTTTTGTTGCATCCTTCTTACCTCCACATCTATCTCCGGCTGTATGATGACAGGGCACACAGCTGTAGGTCTGATGAGTCCGGTCTGGGAGGTCCCTGTTTCCTCTGTTGATGTAAAACAGATAAGAATGCTGCGAGACAAAGTGATGACCTTGTTCAACAAAACACTAACTATCAACAGTGGATGAATAATTAAAGGGGGCGCGATACTCTGCCTGTTAAAACATTGAATAATGTTTGTCTGTGTCTGAGGCAGGATTATGCAAAAACCGCAGAACTGATTTTATTGAAACTTGGCGGAAGGGTGGGGTGTAGGCCAGGGAAGAATCAGTTTACTTATAGAGCACATTCTATTAAAGACATAAGATTCAGGTGAAAGGGATCTATTGGCCAAAATATGAATATTAAATAATCCTAGTGACGTCTTCACTGGTGTGTTTCCTCTAAATTGTACGAGTTGTTGTAGTTTCAGACGGTAAAGCCATAAGTCAATGTAAATTCTGTACAGCAGCATCCATAACTTACCCTCTTCCTTCTCCTGCTCATCTTCTGAATCAAAATCATCATTCATACTGAAAGAAAAGAGAGAAAGTCATGATACAAATCATGTGACAATATGAAAACAGAACCATTCGACTCCACAGTGTTTGAAACACCTGAATGTGTATAAAGTGCTTTGAGGCATTTTCGGTCCAAAGATTGACTCAGAGGCAGACGAGAGTGGCCACACACCATCAGTGTGAACTGTTTTGGATGATTTTGCCTTATTATTATTTCCTGATGCAGTTCAGCCATTTTCTGTCATATTGTCAACAATTGTACAGAACCAGCTGCAGAGAGTAATTTAAAACCAAAGACCTCAGTGATGCCCCATCGCATTAGAGGTCATTAGAAGTGCAAACACATTTTAAGATGGTAGAAGCTGTATTTATGTATCGAAGTTAAAACCATCAAATGTTATTGTGGAAAACACATTCAGAGAAATATCTTTGGATATTTCACATATACTAAACTCTGTCTACCCAGGATAAAGTGGGCGTTACTGACATCAGACTCTACTGTATCTGTTATGAACGACTGGTAGAGTTGATCATTTAAAGCCTTGATGAATCAGAAAATAGAGCAGAGATGTTCTCTGTATGAGGGCACTTGTGTTAAGAGAAGACTGAGTCAACAACACTAAAGGATGCCAAATTAAATAAAGGTCAAGAAGTATGACGAGCATGTGACGGGAGCTACACAAATAGAGTGAGGACAAGCTGACGAGCAGTTCCTACTCCCCTCCAGTTTCATATCAGAGGGTCGGATTTAAAATGATAGAGACCCGACAAAGATCTTTGTATTATACATGTCTGCTGATGTGAAGTCTGCTAAGCTCTGCACACACCGTTCACTTTTTTAAGCAAGTTCTAAAGTTCCATCGCGGCGGCGGGCACAGTACCTTCAACAATAATTACAAAATCAAGAGTAAGGATGAATAATTGTTTGGAGAACTTGACTGAGCCCACTCAGTTATGTGTTATACCTCCTCACTGTGCTTATCCTATGCAATATATCAAAATCGAATTAACTTTTGTTGTATTGCCATTGATAAGGATGAATTAAAATTGATGATATTGGTTTATCACCCAGCCCTAAAACATCTCCTGACTGCTTGAGACACAGTTAACAAATGCTGTCGGCCTACCTCGAGCCTTATCTGGAGGAGTGGCTCCGTTTGGCCCCCGTCTCACTGCCAGACTCTGGACTGACTCAGCAGCGAGTTGATGCCAAACAGATTAAGACTGAGGCAAAACTCAGCAGCCTCATCACTAAGTGATCAAGGCAGATGCCGTTGAAATAAAGGGCATTGTTCCTGCTCTGGTCTCAGTAATCACCAAAGGCACATTTTCAATCTATAGTAGCCTGAGGTGGATACAGTTCAGTTAAATATAAACTAAAGCCCAGATTACTTCAAAGCACAGACATAATCTAGTGTGTGTACTTCAAATGAACAAACAGAGAGTAATACGTTCTAGTGTCTAGACTTGCTTCACCCAACGGTAACCTTTCCTCCCACTGGCTGCCTTGTTAATGTGTTAAAATCCAATTATCAGTTAACTTCAAAAGCCCTTAATGAATCTATGATGGTTGCTATGGTGGCGGAGGTGGTGGTGGGTGCTGGTAGAGTTTCTGCTCCCCAATTTCCTCCTTTTCAGTTAGTGACTCATCCATCCTTAACAAGCCATCTGGCCCATTCCTATACTCCAGCTCCACTAATGAGGAACTACATGACAGCTACATCAGTTTGCTCCCCTCATCAGGGTCCTCATAAGCATCGGTGGGGACCTTTGCCGCTGTCCCGTGTCGGTGAGCGCCACGAGATTCATCGCGCGCAATCGTGTTGACGCAAGGATACATCGTCGGACTACTTGGCTCCGAGCGAGTGAGGAAGGGGAGAAGTCATTTGTCTGTCATGCTCAAACTACACAAGGGAAATGTCTCTGGTCCCCGATGACCCTGATAGAAAAGGTCAGAGGTAAATTTCCGGGCAGGGAAACGCCAGGGCTGAAAACGACACCTGCCCTTCGCCTATTTTAATCGTCCTAGCACTCCATTGGATAATTGGCATTCTGAAGGGGGTACACACCCCTGTCCAAAACTCTTCCACTGCGGACGATGAAGACTGTAAACTGTAAATCAGACGTAAGGAACACTTAACAAGGTGGTTTAGATCGGATTGGTGACCCTGTCTTGGTGTGCAGTGTGTAGCTGTGTTTCTTAACACCCTGTTTTGATTCAGACTTGACTTCTTGTTATGCTAAAAACAGTCTCCAGGCAGATCCTGTGAATAAAGCTGAATGCTCATTGCAGCTACGAAATCCTCACAGGGAATTACTAAGCAACTGGAGCTACGCAGCTGCTGCACAACACCCAGTGTTGCACAGTACTTTAGTGGCTTTGTTTGCATCTATCTCTTGATGATTTTGTTGCTCATGTGCACCCATATGCTGGAATTAGGCTGTTTGTTAAGTTCCTGCATCTGAGCAGTTTGAATATTTGGATGATAGTGGATTCCAGCTTTCAAAATCCCCCTGGATTCAAAGGATGGAAACACATCATGGATGACACCTCTCACCCCTTACAGGACACTGTGGGCCCTGAGCAGCTCTTTGAGCAGCAGACGGCTGAACCCACAGTGTAAGAAGGAAAACTTCCACAGGTCCTTCATTTCACTTCAGAGTCTACAACCCCACCATGAACGTTAACTGTTTCTATCACAACTACTTACTATGACTTGCACTATTTTTAACAAAATCTCTTTTTGCACTTTAGCATAATGTATATATATCGTATGGTTATTGTGCTATATACACATATATTTATATATACATACATACAGTATATCAGTAGAACAGCAAACCTTCCTACATTCATATTGTTTTGTATACCATTGTGATTTACATTAATATACATCTTTGTAATGTTGTACAACATAAAATATACTGTGTCTTTCAAGTTATACCTATTAGTGTCCATGCATATATGTATACATAGGATTTTATGCTCATATTTTTTTGTATACCATATCTGCCTATGTACAAGTCTAATCTGCATATAAATCTATCTCAATATCTCTTTAATGCACTAATACACTCTCACATGCTCTTGCCATCATCCTGTGCCAAAGCACTTTACTCAAGTACATTTCTATACAGAACCATATTTCTGTAGTGACAGGTATTTACATATTTTTCATTTTTTATCATATTGCCTTTTCAAATCATTTTGACCTCATTCTGACTTGTCTGCTGCTGTAACAAGTGAATTTCCCAGGTGTGGGATCACTTAAGTTTTATCTAATCTCTTCTTTCACCTTTCAAGGCCTTTGAGGAGATTGTGGCTCAACCCCAACCTCTGGAGGTCAGAGGTCAAAGTAATCTCATCTCTCAGCACTTTATTTCATCATTTGATCTGTGTCTGACGAATGGAAACGCGTGAGGGCAGATTTACCTGTAGTACTTTGGGGGTTTAAGGATGCCTCTGATTTCCTGCACGTCGGTGTCCGTTGGAGCTGCATCGTCTTCGTAGGACAGGAGCAGAGTCAGTACATAATTCATGGAGGAGTTGTTGGCCCAGAAATCCCCGTCACTGGTTTCATAGCGGACCACAAACTCAATGCGAGAGCCGTGCGTGATATACGGAGGCGCAAACGACAGCTTGAAGGAGAATCGATCCGTTTCTCCGTCGTGAGACCCCTGGACGTACGTCGCGGGGTGGTCGAAGTAAGTCACCCAGTTGTCCATGGTGGATCTGATGTAAACTGCCTTGTGGAAGGAGACGTTCAGGACTCGTATTAAACCACAGAAGGCGAGAGGATCGTCCTCCACTGGAGACAACTGCTCCACCTCCACCTTGCCGGTGCGCACCGCCTGCAGCAGCGCACCGCCGGCAGGTGCCCTGAACTCCGGCTGCACACAATAGGTCGGCTCTCGCCCTGGTTTGCGGTACTTCGCCTCCTCTTCCTCCCATCGTGCGCTTTCCTCTTCGTCGTCCGATTCAAAGGCCACGAATTCCTTCACGTCCACCAGATCTCCGCCGGTGATGTCGGCGAACGACACTTTCTTCTCGGCGGCAGACAGCGCCAAGTGGATGCGCATGTACTCGGCTGTCTCGTCGTGGATGGAGGCGCCTCGCTTCCTGGGCACCGGGGAGCACCTGGGGATGAAGCGGACGCTCTCGGGGTCATCATCGTCTTCATCCTCCTCCTCCTCCTCATCGTGGTTATTATCCTCGTCGTTCATAGAGGAGCCACTGTGCGCCACCTCGGCTGACTTGCCAGTTTTGATCGTGGTAAAAAGCCCCTCTTGGCTCGGTATGGTTAAAAAGGACATGTTTGCAGACGTGTAAACTGTGCGCTCTAAACACTACATATGGCGTCTCTATAAAAAAACACAAACCACAGCCAGACAGTCGAGGTTTGCGCAGCGGTGGCCGGTGTTGATCCAGCGCTGGTCCCTGCGTTACGCACACAGGCTCCTCATGTCAGTCAGCTTGTGACAGTAAATGTCAGCCATGGAAAACGTGTCAGTGCTGCCAGCCCCTTGTGATAGTGTATCCCCTGGTTTACATGACTTAAAGCATCGCTCTCTGGCTGCTGGAAGGAGCCGCCTCTAATTTTAGCTCTGACCTACCGGGATCTCGAGCTATGGTTGTGGCCGTGCGTGTGCTTCCATGGGCGAGAACATGTTCTGTCCCAAATTTGTCTTCTGACTTGGTATAATCCTGCGTCTCCCCATGGCTGAGTTTGGTTCGGGCTGGATAAACCGCCCACTACTGGGACATGACCATATTAAAGTAATATCACACTGATGCATTGCCAGTTTTAACTATAGACACGTGTTATAAATCACCTATAGAGGTCAGCATCAGGGTATATTCAAAGATTCGAAGAAAATAATCTGGTGGAAATTCTTATTTCCAGATGGGGTCTGTTTTATGACCATGAGGGTGTCATGATTAAAAGTCTCAAAAGGACAGTTATTGGGTTAAAATACATGTTTACATTTTTATTGTTATTTAGTTGCAACATGCAAAACCGCTGTAAACCTAAGTTATGCAAAGGATAAACAAAATAACACTGAATAAATAGGATGTATCAATGAATCAATGAATGAATCTATCTATCTATCTATCTATCTATCTATCTATCTATCTATCTGTGCACTAACAACAACATTCACTTAATCATTAATTAATACCTATACGCATTGTTCCTGTTTTCATTTCGAAGCTTCTAATGCATCCTGTGCCTGTTCAGCAGCTGCAGTTCTCACTTACTCTTCTTACTTAACATCTATTTGTCAGAACAAATACAATTTGACGTGATAAAAACAACTCACACACGCTGGACTGAGAAGCTATTTATAGATGGGTGGACGTGCAGATCCATTGAGGGAATAAAACATTTTATTTGAGGGGATCTAAACTAAACATCCTCAGATGAATTCATACTCCAAAACTAACAAACAGTTTGTTTACATCTTGTTTGACATTTGAACCGTGATTAATTACAAATGTCTTATATCTGAATGTCACGGGATCGATTCGTGCGAGAGTTGATTCAGTGAATCTGAGAACACATCATCTGACCTGTGCTTCTGATGGGAGCTGACCATAAGGAAGATATCTTTCTATTTATCTCTGCGCAGTTAAACCGCCTCTGCAGACGGATCACGATGTAAACGCACCCCTCGTCGCTGATTGGTGGAGGGGTTTTAGCGCGGCGTGCCGCAGCCAATCGGAGGATTGTTTTCCTGTCACGTCGATGCACGGATAGTAAGCTAACGGGCAATACAAACACAAACTGTGATAAACAACGCGGGCTGCGGGTTCAGACGGAGCCGCTGCGGAGGGTCCGAGTGTCTGCACCGACTCGTTCTACTGGGGCCGCTACCGGTGAGGATGTGATGCCGCCATCGCCGCGAGGACACACGAACGGGGCGACGTGAGCTAACTGACGTTAGCATTAGCTTGCTAATTTCAACGTTGCGCAAGGCCGCGGAGAATCGGGAGAGCTGCTTCCTGCTCCGCCGAGGATGTAGGTAACGTTACGAGACAAGGAACAAAAAAACCACAACTGCGATCCGACCCACTGGTTCCGCTGAATTATTGAATTACATTTGTTTCAGTAGCGCTGCTTTAGCAAGCCACCTAGCTTGTTAGCTATTTGGCTAGCTAGCTAGCATGAGTGAAGTGACGGACTGCAAACAGTCCGCTGACTCTGCATCGAGGAAACGGTGTCCATCACCCGACCAGGATGAAGGAGGCGCGGTTCCCAGCAAATCCACAAAAGTTAGCGACGCCGCAGATGAAACCGGGGGCACTTCAGAAAGTTGTAAAAACAGTGAAGCGGAGAGCAAAGAAACAGCTGCACGCGAGTGTGAAGGCAGCGTGGAGGAACCAGCTGCCGTGCACACGGATCACACTTCAGACTGCACGAGTGGCACCGGTCCACTCTCTGTCAACAAGCCTCACACTGACGGCCACGATGCCAGACACACCGAGAAACCACAGTCCTCCGGTGCACAGGCCTCTGCCGAGGCGAGGGAAGCTGCAAACAAGACGACAGGAGCAGGGCACCGTCCCGCTGCTCCTCTGCATCAGTCCGACTCTGCAGCCATAGCAGCTGCTGAGGCACTGGCCAGTCTCACAGGAGGAGACGGGGAGGACAGCCGAGAGACTCCTTGCTCATCTGAAAAGGCTAAACAGGTCAAGCCGGTGAGCAGATTCAAACAACGCGGGGGCCACCAGCAGTCCCCCAGACTGAGCTCCAAAACTCAGGCGGCTGCAGCAGACAGCTCCACATCTGTGCACAGCACCGACAGAGAAGATGCAGATGATGCAGCCGAGGCAGATGAAGGTGATGAATCCATATCTGGATCATCGTCCACACCGAGCTCCTCTTTCCCGTCAGACAATGACAACGAGGACGGGGAGTGTGCCATTGTGTCCGTTAAGATGGCCCCTGAGATGAGGCAGTCAGTGGCCCTGCTGGCACAGGTACAGATGAGACTGGAAGCCCTCGAGAAGAAAAGTGCCCGGCTTCACCAACGGCTGGAGCTGAAGATCAGTCGTCAGCGACGGCCACATCTGGATCAGCGCAGCTCAATTACTAAAACAATCCCTGGCTTCTGGGTGACAGCTGTATCCTTTAAATGAAAATGTCCCGTCCCTCCCTGCTTTGTGTTTGTCAACGTATATTGGGTTTGTGCTTAACCTCATTTTACCAGCTGTTGAACCATCCGCACCTCTCGGCTCACATTGATGAGACTGATGAAGATGCTCTTAGTTACATGACTGATCTGGAGGTAGGAAATGTGGGTGATTTATTCTTACAAAGTTTACCTTCTGGATACGCCTAGAATCAAAAATCCTACGTTTCCTCGTGTCTTTCTCAGATGGAGTCTTTCAAGAATAATAAACTGGGCTACAGGATCCGATTCCACTTCAGACGGAACCCGTATTTTCAGAACAACATCATCATGAAGGAGCTGCACCTTGGGATGGGAGGTATAAATGATGATGTGGTGATTAAACAAATGCATTTGAATACCTTCTGCATAGTATTGAGAGGGTCGACAGAGGATACTGAGAATAAACTAATAAAGAGTTTGAATTGTATTTTCATGCTCGGTAAAATCAGCACGTCCATTCATTTCTGTGTCACCTTCTAATCGTGAGTGCTCATGTTTTCAGGATCTCCCATGTCTTTCTCCAACCCCATCCTATGGCACCGTGGACAAAACCTGACGGCCCAAAGCGAACCCCGGAAGTCGTCACGTGGGGTCTACCAGACGTTTTTCAGCTGGTTCAGTGACCATAGCAACCCAGGGCAAGATGATGTAGCACAGGTACAGATGATGAAAAAAATCATTTTATCCCACTAGAGATGTTTTAATTCCTCATGATATAAGCCAGACGTGCTGGAAGAGGCTTTGGGTGTAATATTTTAGTTTGTAAATGCATCACCTTTGCTACAGTCAGAACACACTTAGAAAGGAGCGCCCCGGAAACACTGCTGGCTCAGTTTTAGTTTAAATACTCTGGGACTTTTAATCTGGAATGGCAGGAACAGAGAACATTTGGAAAGGACGAGGCCGTCACCCACATTTGCTTCCTGATTAACAGTCACGACTCGTCTACCAGCTGTGAATGTGAAGAGTTTTTAACATTCTCTGTCAGTAACAGTTCCTCCTCCTCATCTGTCCAAGAAAATATTCATGTTCGTATTGACGGAGATCATTTTACTCCATTTGAAAACAGGGTGGATAAAGCCTGAAATCTGTTTAAACAAACGGTCTAACAAAATGTAATTATTTCTTTATTTATTCCCCTTCTTGTTTGTTTATGACAAATCAAAATGATTCAGTAATGAGCACAGAGTAAAGTATTAGAGGAATACAAAAACAAGCTGTGGATAATGAAAGGAGGAGATAACATACGTTCCAAATATTGAATTGAAATGTACCTAAGTGATCTTTGTTCTGATGTTTAGATACTTAAAGACGACCTGTACAGAGACCCACTGAGATACTACCTCACTCCACTGTGGGAACCAAGGGAGAACGGCAGGTAAATCCAGCCCATTCTCATAGCTGTGTCTGGTGCAGTTTGTAGAATAACCACTTATTAAGCTGTAAATTCTGGATATTTTCTTCACCCCAGGTGTTTAAATTATACCTCATGTGCAATAGTCCGTTTCCTGTTTTCCCCCCCTGAGGGTAAACCCATGTGGGATGCATAACCAAACTCTTGAGTGTGTTTACTGCATATGTTTTCAGGGGGTTATTTAAATAAAGTTTTTCTCCAGTAGTGGGAGCGGACCCAGAACAGCTGATAACGGAAATGGAGATGATTGTGTGGTAATCTCCGACTCGGATGATGATGCCGGCGAGGACACTGGTGACGCCGAACAAGGCCACAGTAGGAGGCGAGAAGAGGAGGATGACGAGGAGGAAGAGGAAGAAGATGAAGAAGAAGAAGAGGAGGAGGGGGACAGGGGGCCAAGTGCAGGTCAGTGCGTCTGGAGAACTTATAAACATGGCTGAAACAACAAATTGTAAAGATACACATCTCTCACATTATGTTTGTTCATTTATACAGATTCAATAATCCTAATTTTAGGCCTTAAAGGTCTTAAACATGTTAAAATAATGTACCAGGTCTTATATGTTTAGGAAGTTTTGATTTATGTTAATTTTTTCTGATAATGTTTTACGGACATGCATAGTCTGCACCGTCTCTGTGAGTTGTAGTTCTTTCTCAGTGATAAAGAATTGAGCAGATATATTGTGAGTAATTGTTGGACTCTGTCATTGATTCATATCTCTACTTTACAGGTTTTTAATTTAGATTTCATCCATTAAGGTCTTAAAATTAATTTAACCTCTTAACACCTGCAGAACCGAAATAGCTGTTGTCCATATTGTGTAAAGAGTTCAGTGTTTGTTCATGTGACTTCAGAGGCCAGGGGCTTGGTAGGATTGAGTTGACTGGGTTGTGTTGTAGCTGAAATATAAATGTTTGAACGATGCAGGGAAAACTGATCAGACAGGAAATATCACCTCCTCAGATGAGAGCCCAGAGGAGGAGGATGATGCTGGAGAAATAGTGATTGACGGTAAGAAGACGCCACTCTCAACAGCAGTGTTGCAAATTCACCACTATCATAAGCAGTTAGCGGGGGAGCGGGAAACCTAGAGCTGTGTTCACACTACACGACT